TTTAATACTTTTCCTTTGTCACAGGCAGTGCAGCAGAGACTATTCGAGATGGAGCGATTACAGTCGGAGAAGGAGTCTCGATTGCAGCTTGTAAGCTTTTCAGTATCGTTATTACTGCTGTGATCCTCATGTTTTCCAATTTCATAGGTCTAACGATCTTAAACGATGAGCTTTGATTACTTTAAACGGCAAAAAAACTCTGAAAGTTTTTGATGGTGCCATTTCGTTAAGATGTAAACGGTAGAGCCGAGTCGCTGAAAATATACTTCGCGACTTACAGTTTCTTGAATCAAAGATAATGGTGCACCTGACTGGGAAAGAGCTTAGGGAGAATAGTGCATCGGGAAGCGAGAAATTCTGCTGACTACGAATGGGATGGAAAGGCTATTTGGCCGAGATTCCAGTTGTTACGACTACAAAAAAAGCTGACTTCTTAAGGCCAAAAGTGTCCAAAACTGCCTTTCGTTGGGACACGACTAGTTGTTTGATGTTTAACATGGGTGTCCCTTGCGAACGGTACATTCTCTGCAATGCCCTTGAAACTCGTCCGTTTTTGGGTGTGGCATGGCGCCGACACAATCCTTGAGCACTTAGAGCGCCTCTGGGTCATTTCTCGATCTGGCAATGCTATATTTGGTCTACGAGAGGAGCCACAGATTTATCCTAGGGGTATATTCCAGAAATTATTTCGAACTGTGCTTCAATTGAGGAAGTGATAAGGATGATTCTTCTTCGTGATATTCATGATAAAGTTGTATTTGTTAAAATGGGCTGCAGGAACCTTTTGAATTTGGTCGGGAGCAATTTGGCATAGTAATCTGATGAAAACTTTAAAAAATACACTTATTTTATCTGTTACTTTTTCACATGATCGATTCAAAATGGGAAAATTTGTTTGGGAAATTCGGTTTGGTTCCTTACCCTACACACTTTGCCGTTTTTCGAATCTAAAGTCGAAACAAATTTGAGTGTAAGTTTCCCTAACGAGTAGAGTAATTTGAAATCGAAGCGATTGATTGGTTGAAATTGATCCGAAATGCGTGTGTTTTTCTGGTTAAGCCGTCCCAAATCTCGTCGATCTATGAAATACCACCACAATGTGGCAGCATGATCAAGAAACAGAGCTTTCCCATCCGGGATCATCCACTTTTTCAACTTTTACCCCTTCAATAAATTTGTGGTTGAAAATGGTTCAATTTCTATCAAAGTATGCTATGAAAAAAATCACCTTTACAGCAGAAACATATAATGCTGCTCGAGAAGGTGCTGCAAAGATCGGTGGAGCTGTCGGTTAGTCTTTTTGAACTTTTATTGTATTCTGAATCCATTTTGGAAATCTTAAACTTTTGATGACAAAGTCCGATTTCAGGAGATGCTGCTGCAGCTGCGCGAGACGGTGTTGTTGCCGCTGGAGGTGCAGTTGTTGATGGTGCCAGTGAGTTTATTTTTATCAATGAAACCAATTCAGAGAAGAATTTGAAGTAAGATATTTTTGGGTGGGAAACAAAAATTTTCTCTAGGAAAATGTACAAAAATGTGAGCCCGAGGAAAAATCATGGATTTTTCTGTAGCTGTAAATAATTTTGAATCGTATGCCGTTGAAATCGTAGCATGTTATAGGAGCTTGGTCCCTATCTCCACATGGCATTTCCTATAAAAACAGAATGATAAGGGCATGCTTTAACAACAGGGCAACTTTGATGCAGAAAAGAGAACTTTATTGCCACCAAAAGGAGTGTAGCTCCAGCTCCAGCCTTGCCTAACCTCCAAGGAAATGGCAAGTGAAGTGGCGAAGGACCTAGCTAGTCAGGCCAGACTCTGCTGCTTCATCTCGATCGTTAGCTTTTCTTTGATAGGTCTGTGACTAAGTTTGTCCAAAAAAAGGAAACAGTGGCTCGATGGGGACCAGTCATTTTCGGTATAATAGTGGTGGAAGATATCATTGTGGACATCTTGATTTGAAAGTAGACATGTTGATCTGGTAGCTCAGATGCATGGCGGTTCTATTGGAATTCATTGACAAAAACCAATTTGCCAATCTGAAGCTTCTATACTTTCAAGTCGTAAAATAGAAAAAGGGTTTGCCCTTGAAGAGTGATTAATGAATCCTAATGACTAAAGTGATTAACCCGTACGCCTCTTTACGGAACTTAAAAACCCTGGAATACCCTTGAAGTGACAGTACTCTGATGTTTTTTTTTGCTTAGATTTACCTAGTTTTTTGAAACATGTAAGAGTGGGTTGCCGTATGAGACTAGGATACTCTCGCCCTTCGTAGGTTTTCGTCAGAGCTTGCATAAGAACAGTTCCTCAAAATAATCACCGTTCCCCTCAAAATTGCGAAACTAGGCTCCTTCTATGGCGTGCTGAACCCGCTTTGCTCTAATCACATCTCCAGAGACTGACAAAATCAAAAATACATGTTGAAAAACTTGAGAAAAGTTGGAGCTATATCAATACAAAGGGCGATAGAACTCTATAAAATGATTTTTGAAAAGCCATTCTTTTTTTCTAAGCTAAGAATTGCATTTCAGAATACGCCGCAGATACTGTGAAGGACGGTGCCGTCGCAGTTGGTAACACTGCCGGTAAGCGGGCCAGCCGGTTTTTGTTCTAATTTTATCTGAAGGAATTTCGGAGAATCAAATTTATATGTTCAGCTGATTTCGCTGGTTCTGCTTGGGAACAAGCCAAAAGTGCAGAAGCCAGGGCGGAGGAAAAAGCTAGGCAAGGTGTAAAGCATGCAGGAGAAGCTGTTGCGGATACTGCAAGTAAGTGATTCCACTACTAATCTCTAGTAGTACCAGCGCAGTTTCTGTACTCGAGGATTTAATTCCGATTTTCTGAATGTGTTTGACAAAAGGGTACTGCAGAGTGGCTAGATGTAATGTTACTTGTTAAACGCCCTATCAAACGAATAACTTACCAACAAAAAATAACTTCTAGGTGGAGCTTGGGAAGGTCTAAAGAACACAGGAAAAGCGGTCGGCGACACTGCAGGTCAGTGTGATCACTGAACATTATTGCATCTCCGAGCACATTCAGAATTTCACGTTTTCAGCTGAGGCTGCATCGGCCGCATACGAAGGAGCCAAAAGTGCTGAAGAGGCTGCCGAAGAGCATGCAGGTTAGGGAAAGCGAAGAGAAAAACTTTCAGTTTTATTCATGCAACTATCTTCTCAGATATCGTTAATTATTGAAACAAAAACATGAAAAGCCTGAATCGGCAATGTCTTTTCAAAAGATCGAACTGTCACCTTTTGCACTTCCCTACACCTGCAGATTGGACGTTCTAGAGTGTTCGACCTTATAACTATCTCTCAATTTTTGAGGCTGATGAGAAGAAAACACCTCTTGGTAGAACCTGAACATCGGTGCCAAGTTTCAGCCGTGTCTTGTGGACCGGGGTAGCTGGACTTTTTTATTTTGAACATGACGTTTCGACCCGGTCGCCTTCCTCATGACAGGAACACCAGATGGCGTAAGTGTCGTCTCCCTCCCCGTTAACAAATCCCTTTTCGACGAGCGTACTGAGGAAACCCCAAGAAAACCATAGGAAATTAGAATGATGTAGGTTAAGCCGTCCCTAATCAGCCTATCAGTGGATAAAACATGATATGAAGTTCAAATACAAAACATAATAGTCATCGACGATGCAGGACCTCAAAAGAAGAACAGAAAGGTCTGCTTAAAGCCATCGAGATTTGGAAACTATTCCAGTGCACTTAGGGCAATGTTCATGTTCTAAATAGGTGAAAACGTGAATGATGCGAAGTATGTTGCAAGCCCCGATCTTTTCCCGCTGCTTTATTCGATTAATACTGATATTAATACTTTTATAAAAGCTTTTAGCGCTCAGCTAATTTCCATCAAACTTCAATACACACTAGCAATCAGTTTAAAATATTATTATTATTATCGATGGGAGTACAGTGACCTTATCGAATTTTCTTAAGCTGTTGCAGTCAACAAGGTCAAAGAGACGGCTTCTGATGCACGGAATGCACTTGGTAAGAGGCAATCGATCTTTCATTATTTACGGGCCTCGCTTATAAAGCGGAGTCCCAGTTATCGTTGTTTATCATCTCACCAAAGTTGGCTCAGTCTTCGAGGCGGCAGACAACTCGCAATCGTGTCAGGCCCTTACATGTGTATTGTAGGCCTGGCATTATACGAACTGCCTCCGCGAGCGTGGTGACTATTTTTCGGCAGAATGGGATCAACAAGTTCGTGTAGCCCCCCATACCTGGCTTTTAACGCAAACGTCATTTAGGTCACACTTTGAAGGAGGCCGGTGAAGCAGTTGAGGATCATTAGAAGGGGCAGCAGTGCTCCTTGTCTCAAGCTCGTTCTCTCGTCAACGATACTCGACTCTATTAATGTATAGCTCTCTATAAACCATACGCCTCATGTTATCGATGATACGTTGTTGAAATGACATTTATTATTGCACTATGTGATGCCGTGTTGATGGTAGCTGAGCATGTGTATATATGATTTTGCTGTAATAAAAGCCTTTATTGTCATCCTACTGTCACATGACGTTGAAGTCATCCCGAAACGTTGAACGAAAGTCGTTCAACCTAGCTTAGTGGGTTCAAACTCTATTAGAGGCAAGCTATTATGGTTGGTCGTTCAACTTTGATCAACTTAACAGCTTCTTTTCTAGGGAGTCCAATTGTAATTTCAATCATAGCTATCTGATTTATAAACTCAACTTAACTGTGGCTCTTAATAATGGCTCTGGCCAGACTTGGTGTAGTGGCAAGCGGCGCACTATCCATCGTTGCTCGGGTCGCGTATATAAGAAGCACCAGGGAAAAAGGGCTCATAACTTCGTTCCCACAATCGTTTCGCCGATTTGGGACCCAGATTTGGGATCAGCGTTCAAAGCCACTTACGTCGGTATACATCTGATCTTGAATGGCCACTGCGACCTAGTATCCTTCCGTTGTGAGTGAAAGACACGAGTTGGGGGTCCCTGCCGACAAATTGGCATCGCCCTTCAATATGGAACAGGTCAGCTCGTGCTCTTTTTATAACCTTTTCAAACATTCGAAGGTTCTTCTCTATATATTTAGTGAATCCTTGGATGCAGCTACGACGTTGCTTGAACGAAAGTTTTTGTTGGCTAGAGCTTTGCTACTAAAGAATTATTTTTTGCTTATTTCCGAACTGAAATTCACAGTTAGTGCTAGGGTTAATGATACAACCTTAATTTCATGCTACGTTCGACCGTCGCCCGTACAACTCGAAGTGAGTTTGGCCTTTGAACGCGTGTTCACTTCTTCTCAAAGCATAACCCGTTGACAACAGTGCGCACCTATGGGCTAAGTTATACTTTGCAACTGCCTTATTGTGTAGTGTACGCGGGTCGATCGATGATCATCACACACCCCGATGGTTCTCAGCATGGCATTCGCGAAATATAAATAGATTCTCAAGGGCCTTGAACGCTAAGAGAATTCGTGCTGCGTACATTATTTCTGGAGTTGTATCCAACAATGTTTCCTCCCGATTCCCTTTTTTGGGCTTTGATAGAATATCCTACTTATATAATCGGGTGTGTCTGTTGGTGTGTTTGTGTGTGTACGTGTGTGTGTCTGACCGGAAATTCATATCTCCTGTCCTCGTGGACCTAGAAAATCAAATTTTTAAGGAGTACGTGCGGCAGGATGCGGGCGGTTATAGCGGGTAGCAGGACCGACTCCACCCACGGGGGGCGGGGTTTGCACGAAATTGTCAATTTGTTCCTACGGCGTTCAAACTTGGTAGGAATTCTGGAAACATGATGGAGACACTTATGAAGGATGGCGGGACACGGACTCCGCCCACACGGAGCGGGGTTTGTGCGAAATAAATGTTTGAGCAGAAATTCATAACTCCTGTCCCCGTGGACCTAGACCGTTCAAATTCGGTCGGAGTAATCTGAACAGGATGGAAACACTCAGTGTGGAAGGCACGACCAGACCCCGCCCACAGGGGACGGGGATTGCGCGAAAACTGTCAACTTGGCCCTGGAGCGTACAACACGGTAGGACCACAGGCGGCAGAATGGGAACACTTATTATAGGTGGCAGGAAAGGACCCCGCCCACAGGGGGCGGTGTTTGTCCGAAAATTAACAATTTATCCTTGGGGCGTTCAAAGTATTCCAGTTGCACGGAAATTTCACGGAGGTACGCTTCCTTAGCCCATCTGTCTCTTTTTTTCTCTGAACAATGGCCTTTGTGATATTATACGATGTTCTCTTCGGACACAGCGAAGATGGGTTACTAAAAAAATCGCTCCCAACTCGGAGCTAGTACTGAGCGTGTAGAGCTTCCGAAGAAAAAGGAGAATCCGAAGTGTTATTTACGCATAGCAAAGTTCTTACAGGAAGGAGGAGCGCCCGGCGAAGCCGGGCGAAACCAAAAGACGGAGGGAAGCCCGGCGTTAGCCAGGCGGCCCAACTGGTGTATTATGTGCACGTTATACAGGGTGTCCCAAAATTATTGGCGCCAAAATTCAGAATTTTCTAAGGTAGAAAAGTATCCTAAGGTATTTTCTGAGGATCGGGATCCTGGGTGACTCATGAAAGGAAGTCAACGAGCACGGCTTATCGGAGTTATCGCGATGGAAGAATGTCATGCAGAAGCTTCATTGCCATTCCTATCGTATGCAGAATTTGCGCTTCAGTTCTGATCTAAACAGACACTGCAGGACCAAAAAATGCAGAAAGTCGCAGACCCACTGGGGTGATGACACGCAAACCTTAATCGTTTTTTCTGGCCAAAAAATTTTTCTCGATAAAACCATCCCTCAACAACCAAACAGTCGCATTTCAGAAAGAAACATCTAGCGTGCAATCTCTCACACAGAGGTTGCTATATGAACAGAATTATTTTTTGAAGAAGTCACTGGCAAGGATGAGAGGCTCATGGTTTTTTCGGTGCCGGCGTGAAAATTGACCAAGACCGATGCTCAAAGAGCATACTGGACGCGATAAAACACTGATCCGAATAGGTTTCCTGGAACATCTCGTAGTCCTTCTGGCAGGACACTACTCCAGCGCACAGAGCCAAGCTTGCCCAAGAGTGGTGCCGACGGCAGCTGCCCGACTTTATCGGTGAATAGTAATGGTCATCCTATTTTCCAGAATTTGATTCACTTAAATCCCCGTATGGTCCATGATTAGAAGAGGAACTGTCGAGTTTGCAGTCTCAGTTTGGAGCTCTAGAAAGCAAGGCTGAAGAACGTCCGCAGAAGAAATGGAGAAGGATACCTGCATGCCACAGTCGATCAGGTCGAGAGCAAAATTTGGGCCTCTATCCGCGTTAACGGGGGGGGGGGAGTATTTTGAAATGTGGTTGTAGCGTGTTGTAGCAAATGGTGTTGAATATCGTGCATAGAAATTCCGTCGTCTTTCGCAGCTGAGAAGTTTCAAATGTATATTGCTATGAAATACCGCCAATAAATTTGAGACACCCTGTATTAATGCATACGTATTTATATATTAAGGGATATATTAAGATATTGCTAATTTTAGTAAACCAAAGAAATAAATTCTGGGATAACGGCTGTCACCAGGTACGTGGTCCCATGGGCGCACCACGTCGAAATGCGCATTGTCATCAAAGGGTTAACAAGTATTAAATGCAGCATGAGTCATTTAAAAGACGGCCGAGTATGTAAGTGTCGTCCGGTACTGCAAACACAACCGGTCGCACTCGGTATCGCGATCTTCATTTGGTGCCACAAGAATATAGTCTCTGGTAACTTTATCTGCCTCGATGGCGAATCTCCATCTAATGCAAGTGTTACAAGCTTATTAAGACTACGGAAGGCAAACGTGAGAAAGGAAACGAAATATAATGTAAATATTGAACATTTGAACTAGCAACCGATGCGCAATACTAAGATAAATTAGTTACTCAATCAGTCTCAGGAAACGTTAGGATCAATTTCCTTCAGCAGCAATTTAACTACTTGGCATTTGAACTGCGCTAGCGATGAAGAGACGGGTATATTTTTCACCACACTTAGATAATCGCTGCCAGCCCTGAAGGTAAAGCTACTCGCTTGCAAGATAGCTTTAGGGTGTGCCAAAAAAATCCTCATGCAGCCCTCCAAGACCTCGAATGCGTCAGCTTG